GGAAGCATGGCCTGTGGCCAGTTCCTGTTGCATCTAATCAAGGATTGGTAACTGTTTGCAGATTTACCCTAACTCAGTTTTGCTGAGCATTGTGACAGCGTCATTTCCTGAGAGGTTACTTACCCAATAGCCTGAACCTTTCTGCAACAAAAGTGGAGGAGCTCTTTCCTTTCTCATCTCACCTGTATGTCAAGGCAAAGGCAGTGTAGACAGGAGGATGAGTCCTGAGGCAGGCATCCTGGCTTCCAGTGCACACTCAGGCTTTCCCATAAAGTCATGGAGGGCCCTGCCTGTGTCTTCATCTATAAGAGGATAGGGGTCGTCCCACCCCTGGCTCACTGTGAGGATGGATGGCTCAACACACGCACAGCCTTAGGTCAGGGGCTGCTTCCACGCAGGTGCTCAGATGGCGAGATGATTGCCAGTCAGATGATCATAATCATACCACCATCACGTTCAGTCTTGCAATTAGGGCCTTGGTTTCCTTTTCATTACAAACAGGGAGTTAAGCTAAACATTCTGAACAGCTTTCCGCCTTCTGACATTCGACTTAGGTGCTGAGCGATGGTATCTGTTTCAAGTGTGGGTGGTCCACTTTGGAACAGCCATGACCTTAGGACTGTCATTTTGTCCATTAGAGGGCACTGGTGTACTGAGGAATGAGCCCACACCACACCCTCTAAACAGAGAGGAAGGTGGTGGTGGTCTCCAGCTTTGCTCTTCTGCTTCTGTGCAGAGTAGCCATGGGAAGGGATCAGCTTTTGTCTTTTTCATCTGGAAGGGAAGCAGCAAGCCCCAGGCCAACCTTATTATCAATGGAGTTGAGGCCACAGAGTAAATAGATGACAGCACTGTCTGGGAAGGGGACGGAGGTATAGCTGGCTGGACTGGATAGATAAAGGCCTGTAATTTGCTTATCTTTGTATGTTTTAAATAGAAAGATTTCACAAGCGTGTCTTTAAAATGTTACTTAGACCAGGTATATTGACTCAGGATCACTTGGTAATCTGAGTAATCTACCCATACTTAGAATCAACAGCCTCATGGGGAGTTTGGTTTTGAATATTAGCTGGGTTTCATAGCTGTCTGCAATTATTTTAATAAAGTGGAAATTATTGTTGGAATTTATACATATTCCTTTGAATTATTTTCATGTTTATTGGAAATACAATTTCACCTGGTATTTATATTTCTGTCCGAAGAAATCACTGATAAAAGAAAAATGCCCATTATAATCCTAAGTGGTTGGTTTATAGCAGCTTTTATTTCCAACTTAAAACTTCCTAAAATACTTGGAAACAGATTTCTTTCTTTTTTATATTTTTGTTGTTGTTGTTATTGAGACGGAGTTTCGCTCTTGTCGCCCAGGCTGGAGTGCAATGGCACGATCTCGGCTCACTGCAACCTCTGCCTCTCAGGTTCAAGCGATTCTCCTGCCTCAGCCTCCCAAGTAACTGGGATTACAGGTGCGCACCACCACGCCCGGCTAATTTTGTATTTTTAGTAGAGACAGGGTTTCACTATGTTGGCCAGGCTGATCTCAAACTCCTGACCTCAGATGATCTGCCCACCTCGGCCTCCCAAAGTGCTGGGATTACAGGTGTGAGCCACTGTGCCTGGCCAAAAACAAATTTCTATTAATTTTAAAATACTGTATTTTGCTTCCTCTAGCCCTTTCTACCAAATAATGTTTATCTTTTATTTTTTGAAATTGTGCCCTTATTTCAAGTCTCTGTGGACTTTCCAGTAATCATCAGGTTTGCTGCTTACTGGTGACTTAATTTTTCTCTTTACATAAGTTGAGTAATATACAGAATATACTATATAGTTTTTAAAAAGTCTCCTTAGCCCTCCTGTAGATCTTACAGGCAGGTGAACTGTAGCAGAGGTGTCACTTCTGTACCTCTACATTCTTTTCAAGCTAGAAATATTTGATACTTCTCTTTTGCATGGTTTGGCCTCATGCCCAGAAGCACATTCCATTAAATGTATCCATTCCCAAGGCTGAGAGGTCCAGAAGTTGTCCTTGAGACATTTCTTTAGCAGTGGAATGGACCTGTGTTTTATAATATAATAGACTGTAGGACGAACAACTCAGCAGCTCTTTGTCTGCCTCGAAATCAGTTGGCGAGTGTAGCAATGCCTTATAGGACTCTTTTTTTAATCCCAAGAAAAAAAAAATGTACTAAATACATGAGTTAAAATGATATACTCAATACACTAGTTAAAGTAATGCGCTCAATCCACGAGTTAAAGTGCGCCCTGGTACACTAGTTAAAACAATGCGCTCAATACATGAGTTAAAGTAATGTGCACTCAATACGTTAAAACAATGCGCTAGTTAAAACAATGCACTAATTAAAACAATGAGCTCAAAATGCTGATTAAAACAATGTGCTCAATACACTAGTTAAAACAATGCACTCAATACTCTAGTTAAAACAATGCACTGAATACACTAGTTAATGCGCTCAATACACAAGTTAAAACAATGAACTGAATACACGAGTTAAAGTAATGCACACTCAATGGGCTAGTTAAAACAATGCACCCATTGTGCTAGTTAAAACAATGTGTGCAATACACTAGTTAATGGCTCAATACACAGGTTAAAACAATGAGCTGAATACACGAGTTAAAGTGATGCACCCTCAACGCGCTAGTTAAAACAATGCACCCATTGTGCTAGTTAAAACAGTGTGCTCAGTATACTAGTTAATGCGCTCAATACATGAGGTAAAACAACGAGCTGAATACACAAGTTAAAACAATGCACTCAATACTCTAGTTAAAATAATGTGCTAAATACATTAGTTAAGATGGAATATGTGCAGCCTGTGCCATCAGGAGCTTGAAATGAGATGGAAGCTTGCCATGAGTTCTGGTTATAGGCAGGGATGCCGTTTGCCACACTGGCATTAAGATGTTTGACATAGAGGTCATCGAATGCTCAGCGCTACCCGTCATTATCACCACTGGGCAGGTAAGGAACCTGAAGCTGAGAAGGAATAAGGAACTTGCCCAAGAGCACACAGCTAAATTCTGTGTCTCTGTACAGGGGGGCTGGAAATGAGACCAGACTCTGCCTCCACCCCCACCCCACACCTCCCACACTTCTGATCTCAGTGCCTGCCAGTTCTACAAGGGTCTGTGCAGAGGACCTCGAGAGGTTTGTTAAGGTCTGCAATTTACCTGTAATACAACTTTGCTAGACCTTGAGCAGAAAGGACCCTCTGCCAGGCCCTTAGGTGTGAAGGTCAGTGGTTTGGAGCAATGAAGAACATGTCAGGCTCTGATCCTCACCAGCGGCTGTTTTTTTTCCCTCTATATCTATGAACGTGGCTGATCTCTCCACAGTACAGTTGATCAAGGGCAGGGAACCACAAGCTAAGCCCCCTTTATTTTGCCACTAGCAGAGCCTTGGCTGGTTGGCTTCCCAGATTGCCCTCTAGACCACTGTCTTTGCTGCGTGTGCCCATTTGTTCTTTAGTCCAAGGTGATTTCGATCTGCATCGTCTGAATGTTTGTGTCCTGCCAAATTCATGTTGAAATATACTCCAGAAGAGTTGAGGCTTCCGGGAGGGAATTAGGCCATGAGGGCCTCACCCTTGTGAACAGCATTAGTGCCCTTATGAAAGCAGCCTGAGAGAGCTCGTTTGCCCCTTCCTCCATGTGAGGACACACAGAAGGTGCCTTCAGTGAGGAACAAGCCCTCACCAGTCACTGAGTCTCCTGGCTCCTTGATCGTGGACTTCATAGTCTCCAGACTATGAAACCCTACATTTCTGTTGTTTATAAATTACTCAGTCTAAGGTATTTTGTTAGAGCAGACTGAATGGACAAAGGCAGCACCAGAGTTACAACATGCAAGGTATGAGTGAGCCTTCACTACCATTGCTGTGTATTAACAAATATGTTTCAATATTTAAAATCTTTTAAAGTTTTTAGTTTTTAGCTAAAGACATTACTGACTTAGTTTTTTGCTAGTTATCTCCTATCCATCAAAGAGGACAAAGTGGGCATTTGATGTAGCGTAAATACAGTTGTTCCTCAGTGTCTGTATGACCGCCCACAGATACCAAAATCTGTGCATGCCTAAGTCCTGCATTTGGCCCTCTGTATGTGTGAGCTTCACATTCTGCAAATACTGTAGTTTCAGTCCACATTTGGTTGTAGATGCAGAACCTTTCTGTACGGAAAGCTGACTGTACTTATTTTTTAAAACCACATAAAAGTGGACCTGTGTATTTCCAACCCGTATTGTTCACGGCTCAACTCTTGTTTGTTAGATATTGTCAGCGTTTTGTGACTTAAGTATGAGACCCAATGAACTACTCATTTCCATCTACGAACTTTAAAACATCAGATTGTACTGCTTTGCTTTTACTTTTTCTTTAGTGTGGTGGATTTCACCTAGCAAGAACTTTCAAGTAATTAAATTCATGAAATGCTTAGCTTTTGCAGCATCTTAAAGAATAAATTATCCAAGCTCAAGACTGAAGCATGTAAGCGTTAGGTTTTACTGTGTTTTGAGTCTTCTAAAGAAGAGATGGAAAAAAAATGACTCTAGTTAAACTTGAATTGCCTTAGTAGTGTAGCTTTAAGCCTTGTAAAATTGCTAAGTTAAATTGGCCCTGTGTGACCTCCTAATCGCTGTCTTATACAAAACGCAGTCAGTTTGGTGGCTCAGTGGTGCATAGATAAGTTGAGATTTAATTTTATCATTTTGCATGCAACGTTTATACATAGAAAGATTTACACTTTTAATGTAAGAGATGATTAAAGTCCTGGTGGGAAAGCTGATGTAATTATCAGCTTGTAATTATCAAGTGTGTTAAATAAGTATCCAATTACTTTTTCCTATTTTTTTTTTTTCCTCTCATTTGCTTCTTGTTTCTTACAGAGCTTTGACAACAGAAGGGGTCTTCATTGGACAACCTTAAACATTGAACATGGCAGGACATTGTTTTTATGGCATTTGTACCTGTATTTCATTGTAGGTGCTAGACTGGATCGAGAACCACGGAGAAGCATTTCTGAGCAAACATACAGGTGTGGGGAAATCTCTTCATCGGGCCAGAGCGTTGCAGAAACGTCATGAAGATTTTGAAGAAGTGGCACAGGTACAACAATGGCTTCCATTATTTTATCCCATAAATACCCGTGCGGTTGATTTTGGATTACAGTTTTAACCACATTTGAGATAAGTTAGCATTAGTGCGATGCATTTGACACCTCAGATGAGGTCAATGCTCCGATTTCAGAGTGAAATTGTCATTGCCTTGGCAGAAACATGATTTGGTCAGTTGACCCTTTCTAAAATGTGATGTTCTTGGAACAGTAATGTGGCTTGGGTGTTTTTGTCTTGTTTATTATACCAGTGTCTTTTCACTACTTCATGAAATTCTAATTTATAGTCAGGAAATAACAGTTCCTTTTGTGTTTCTGTAATAGTAGGCTAAGCCTTACTTGTCCTGTTTGCATTGCTTTAAGTGTGTGTGCTTAGGAAACAGGAGCTGGGAGTCCAGTGTGTTCCGAATGTGGGTTTTGTGGGGTTTGAGCACTGGCCGTGTGACTTTGGACGAGTCGCTTAACCTTTCTACGGGTAACTTTCTGATCTGAAAAATAGACCCAGTAATTTATTTAATAAGATATTTCTTATAGTCAACTTCTTTAAACTAGTGAGTTGTGGCTTGATGAAATAACACAGCAGAGATTCACAAAGGAAGTGGTGAAATGTTACGGTTGAATTCATTTAAAAATGTCCTCAATGTAGATTTATTATATGGAACAATTCTGGTGTTCTGAGAAGGAGGAACCCAGAATTTGAACCTCATGTTTACGTGGTGGAAGCGAGTCATACAGTGTAACTTCTGCAGACGCAAGACCTAGCTGCAGGGGCCCTGGGCTTCAGAGTCTGTTTTAGACACGGCTGCAGTCACCTCAGGAAGCTCTTGGATCCATTTTGCATGCAGTTTTGCAGAGTCAAGAACTGCCTCGTGACTAATTTGAAGGTCCATTCCTTAATTTTGTACAGTGATTGTGAGTAGCTCTATCCTGTTGAATGAATCCATGCTAATTGATGTGTATGTGTGGTGTGAAGAGCCATCGTGCATTTTCATAGGCTAGTGTAAAAAAAGAAATAAACAGTACTTTTCATGCGAAGCTTTTTGCAAATGACTGTCAGAAAAGGAAGATACTCTTTCATGTTAATATTCCTTTTTTAGATTTAAAAAGTTATGATTAAAACAGCCAGTAAAGCCCAGAAAACTCAGGTTCAAGGAAGCATCTGGTGTCGAGAGCACAGAAGATTTCTTTACTATCATTCGTAAATCTTTGGCATGGCGTCCTTCCTAAGTACCTGACCTGTGAGTTCCTAAACCACCCTCGCTCTTTTCTGCTTATCCCCCTAGATTCCAGTTACCTTCCAGAGAGGTAACCTGTCGCAAACTTATTATCCAGGAAGCCATTTCTGTCAACAGTTTTTCGTATGTGCCGCGTAATTATCTTGTCTTCCTGGATGAAAGAGTGGGTCATTTAGGAAAGCAGGAGACCTTGAGTTCATTCTCGATTTTTAGAAGAAAAGCAAACCAGTGACTCCCTGGTCATTACTTAACTCATTCATCTTTTGCAAGGAGGATAACTGCCTCCATAACACGTGGACATACAGAATGTCCCCACATGTGTAGCAGGCTCTAAATTCTGATTCATGACAGCTGTTAGAGCATGCATATGTACAAAATAGGCTGTTGTTTTGCAGTAAGTTCGGTTTCTAATATAAGATGTATTGTTTCTAATCTTTCAAAATAAATGACTAGTGGAGAATTCAGGGTGAATTATTTGCTATCAAGCATTTGCTTTAGACTGGTGATATTTACAGGGTACTAAATCTTCTCATCTGCTTATTTTTCCTTATTAAAAATACTTCTAAAATTTACCAATATGATTCCACTGCTTTCTGATTGCAAGACAGTGGAAAACTTCATCTCTTGGAGCCTCGGTTTTCCTTGCTGTAAAGTGATGCCTGACACCTACCTTCACCGAGTCGCTGTGATGAGAATGCATGTAGAAATGCCTGACGCTCAGCAGGCGCTGCTGGTGCTGTCTTTGTCCAGAACAGTACGATCATTCAGATTATTCAGATCTTTTGGTGAATACTAGCCTTGTGTTTACATTTCGGGACGAGCCACTAGAAGGCCAGTGCGCCTGCCACTTTGCTCTTCCTGTGGTCTTCAGCTGCAGGACCAGTTCTCACTAGAGATGGCCAGAGGCTCTATTTGGAATCCAGTGGAAAATAATGAGACTTGGCTCTTCCTGCAATCCTCAGCGGCACTGAGAAGCAGCACCAGAGGATGCTGAAGTTGTATCACCCCCGGGCCACTTCACCTCGCTAAAACCCTCCCACTCCTACACCACACAGAAGTGTGTGTCTGGTCAAATGCTGAGAGACACAGATAGTTGTCTGTGTTTTGCTGTGTCTGGAGAAACCCACAGCACTTCTTGGGTCCGCTGTTAGCATTTGTGGTGCTGCTGACTCTGTCCCGTGCACACGTTGCAGGGGCGGTGAGCTTGTCTCTTGGGACGCTGTGTTTTCCCTTGACGGATGAAAAGACGATCCCTGGGAATTTGTGTGCCTTTTAGGTGATAATTTAAGTTACCTGGGGCTTTGAATTTGTACTGTAGATGTACTGGCCCATCATTCTTGTCATTACATTTCTGTATTAATAAAATACCTTGGAGGTTTTCAGTATGCAGACTTCGTTGTCTTTTAAACCAAGCAAATGTAATGAAAGTATTTAGGCCTCAAATGCTCATTTTCCTTCTTTTTCCTATCTCTTCTAAGATCCCCAAATCCCTTATTTTCCATTGAATTCTAAGTACAGCCTCTGGTCATCTTCAATGAGAAACAGCCCTGCAGCCAAGGATTGCAGGAAGAGCAAGGTCTTGTGCACATTTGCCTTCTGGTGGCTCTTTTTGTCTCCTTGAGTCCTACCAAGTTCTGAAGAAAACGAGGACACCAGTTAGGTCCCCACCCTGGCCTGGCCTTGCCTTATTCCCTTTAATCCCCATGGCAGGGATGACCCCCACACCACGGATCAGAAAACGGGTCCAGCGTGAGATGCCTCGGGAACAGGATAGTAGGGATTGGACAGGAGAAGCCCAGTCTCTCAGACTCTCAAACGCTCTCTGACCTGATATCCTCCCCACTTTAGTCCAGTGTCTCAGTTTCTCTTCTTGTGTGAGAAACTGCGGCTTAGGTGCCAGTTGTTTTAACAATCCCAGCTCTGCCGACTGACTTGGTGGACAAGTTACTGCAACCCTCTGTGCCTCGGTTTCCTCGCCTGTGAAATGGGAATCAGGTAGTATCCATGTCCTGCCGCTTTTGTGAGGCACAGTGTTAAGTACCAAAATGGTAGCATTTCTGATGAGTATGGTTGATGTTAGCACAAGGAAATCTCTGTTCTCCGGTTGCAGAAGGACCCAGGGAAGGTCTCATTCCCAGGAAAACCTGGCTGGGGGTTTCAGAGGCATGAGTGCTGACGCACGCCCCACCAGCCCTTTCGCCTTTTGTGCTGCCTCATGTTCTTCAAGCACAAGATGAGAAGGGAAATAAATGATGGCTGTTTCATGCCTCACATCATGCACTTGTTTCTTTGGGACATTTTAAAAAATATCTTTACCTGTTGGAACAGAGGTGGGAAGGCTTTCAGAAATGTAATACTTGGCTGTTGGGAGGCTCTGTCATCTTTAGATCCACTTATCAAATATGAGAAGTTCACAGTTCCGAAGCTGTAGTGGTGATCGTAGGAAAACAGGATTCAGCTCTTTAGAAATGTGTGTCTGTGGCACTCTGGGTTCTCTGTACAGCTTGCTACACTGTTAGCTTCATTCAGCATGGAGGCCCCGTTGTGCCCATGATAGAGATGCAGACATAGGGACTCCAAGGGGATGCTCAGCCGGGGGTAAGCAGGGATTTCCAAGTCGTTTTCCCTGGAAGGAAGCCACCTGCAGGTGCGGCCTCTGATGGTCAGAGAACCTTTGTAGGCAAGAGCGCATGCAGACCCTCCACAGCAGAGCCCTTGGTGCTCACGGCTGACCACGGTCACAGGGGTGCCCACTCTTGTGCCCAGAGGCCCGGGTGCCAGCCATAGGAGGGGAGGGCCTGGATGAGAGAAGCCCTGGAAAGCAGTCAGGAATTGTTCCATAGGTGAAAGTTGTTTTTTAGATCTGTCTCCTATGTGTGTGTACACATGCACATTCACATCTGTCTGTTAAAAACCATGTATTCGCACAGATAACTCCAATTCCAGCCCCATGCCAAGTTCACTCAAATTTTCTCCTTTTCTATCTTGATAACTCCCTTTTCTCAAATAGAGACACCCGGCTCCCATTATCCCTCAGGTATTGGCTTACTTGCGTCATTCCATTCTGCTGATGGAACCAGTCTCCCAACTGGGAATCCCTCACATCCTGCTCAGACTCTCACCGATGAGGCGCCTTCCCTGTGCACCTTACGTCTCTGAGAAGGATACGGATTCACCTTGTTTCTCAAGGGAAACCAAAAGCTCACTCTCTGGGCCTTCTTAGAAGGCCTGAGCTCTCTTCCTTTCCTGCCCTCACATTCTCCAGCCTTTCCCAGGGCTCCCCTCCACCGGCGGACCCCTCTGCAGTAGCTTTCTTTAACAGCATCACGGCTCTCGCATGCCCTGCTGTTGGGGAACCCACTTACAGCCTCAGATTATGAGGAATTAAAGTGATTTCTGGAGTATTTTAGACATGTATTTACACTTTGAGCTCTTTAAAACTCTGGCTACTTTAGAGCCATTATAGTTATAATTTCATTTTTCTCAAAACATGTGGCCAGGCAAAGTGGTTCACGCCTGTAATCCCAGTACTTTGGGAGGCCAAGGCAAGAGGATTACCTGAGCCCAGGAGTTCGAGACCAGTCTGAGCCACATTGCAAATCCCCGTCTCTCCTAAAAATACAACATTTAGCTGGGCATGGTAGCGCGTGTCTGTGGTTCCAGCTACTTGGAAGGCTAAGGTGGGAGGATTGCTTGAGCCCAGGAGGTCAGGGCTACAGTGAGCTGTGATCACACCACTGTACTCCAGCCTGGGCTACAGAGCGAGACTGTCATGCAAGCTGGAAAACAAAACAGAAAAATAAAAAATATATAGCCTTAAGTAGAAGGAAGATGAGCACAGAATTACCAACAAGTAGAAATGTGTGAAAAGGGACAGCAACTTATGTTTGTTTGGAATTTAACCTTTAACTTGTACTTCGAGAATTATCATAAAGCATTGTATCATATGGAAAGACACAGGCTGGAACATCTCTGCTTGGTGATAAAACTGGAAGAAAAAGCGAAGCAGGCATTTGTTGCTGGGGGCCATCTCCTGGCTCCACCTTGGCAAAAATCTGAAAGCTCTGAGCCCCCAGACAGACAGCAATTGCCTGCAGATAGTCCATTGCTACCTTCAATACAAGGGTTTTGCCATGGGGTTCAAAGTTGAACAATCTAAAACAACCGTGGGAAAGGAATTCTGCGTAGAATTCCTGAAACCATCTCTCCCCATCATATTTTTCTCTTTGATTCATGTAAGTGATCAGAAATACTACACATTGACTGTGTTGCTATGTATTACGGCGCCCAGCCTGGCCGGTTTGCTTTTCATTTACCTTCGGTTTCTCTGGGCTGTTCTCTTGTGCAGAACACATACACCAATGCAGATAAATTACTAGAAGCAGCAGAACAGCTGGCTCAGACTGGGGAATGTGACCCCGAAGAGATTTATCAGGCTGCTCATCAGCTGGAGGACCGGATTCAAGATTTCGTTCGGCGTGTTGAGCAGCGAAAGATCCTACTGGACATGTCCGTGTCCTTTCACACCCACGTGAAAGAGGTAAGGCGCCTGGAGACCAAAATATAATCTGGGTCTGAAAGAGTCTTTACCTCTTTGGGAGGAACCTGAGTTTGGTCATAATGTGAGAAAGTGGACAAAGGTGGCAAGTTGTAGGATGTAGCCCAATAATGCTGAGTGTGTCTGTGTGGACAGGGAAGAGCCGGGCTTGTGCTGGCCTTCCTTGTTGTATGGGGGCATGGCTGCCTTTGCTGGGGCTGCCCGTAAAGAGAAGACCCATGAGGGTTGGGAGAGACAGAGAATGTCCATTTCCGTAAGTAGGGGACCTGCGTGTTGTTGGTCAGAGCTGTTGGGTTTCCTTCCTGGGTGTGAACCTGTCACATGGCTACCATCATGAGTGCCTCTGGATTTTACGAGACTTCTCTCAGATGCTAGTAAACTGAGTGTTACCTAATATTGAGTTTAAATGTGCCAGAGCCAACCTGGTACAAATAATATTAAAGCTAATGTCATAGGCATGCACCTGTTAATCAGCTCATCTCATGATAAGAAATAATGTTATTTGGTGTGTGAAAAGTAGGTATTAATTATACGTCGCATATAGATGTTATTCTTGGTAGAAATCATATAAAGTTACATGAAGGAAACTACTATGTAGCTTTTGAGGAAAAAAGAATTTAAAATAAAAGTTCATATTCAGGGTGACTACAAATTGAGTAGGGATGTCAACTTATCACACCTTACTTCTGTGTGAAAAAGAAAATTCCCTGCTTCACCGAGGACCTTCACAGAGGATCGTAACATATTCTGATGCAGCTCTTGATGGATGGGAAGTGAGGGACCCTTCTGGGCAGCTGGGGACTGTGCACATGGAAGCCTGTGGTCATAGGATGGGAAGAAGGATTTGGAAGAGGAGGACTACTGGGGAAAGAGGGGAGGTCGAGGCCTGGCTTGCCTCATTTCAAGGCATCAGCACTCGGAGACCCACCAGTTCCTTTAAAGGGGAACGTCTCTACCAGCTCTGAGATCTTGGGCAGTTAGTCCTCAGGCCATTTGTCACTGGAATGTTTGAACCGCAGGTTTCCCTCTGAAACCCTGTGAAACTGTGAAGGAGTGGAGGAGAGTACGCAGCAAACTGCTGGGACCCCTGGGGTTTGCGCTCAGTCCTGCCCCAGGCTGGCAGCTGGCGCTCTTGGTCCTTTCTGCCAGGGGGCTGGTGCTTCTTGGTCCTGAGATGGTCATCAGGATAGAAACTGGCACAGCTAGCTTCTTTTCCTGCTCGTCAGAATGCCGTCACTCAAATTGCTCTTGAAAATACTTACAAAGAGGCCGTTTTCTTCTGAGGAGATACATTAAGTGGACATTGTTCTGTGGCAGTTTCTAGTCATTGCTGCATGTGCCACTAGACTAAAGTTTTCCACTTGTCTTGAACCGAGTTTGTCTCTTGCTGTCCTCCAGCCTCTGCTGGCTCCTTGCCCCAGCCTCCCTGTGGCACTGCTACCAGAGTAATTTTTCTGAAATAGAAATTTGACTAGGCCATACCCCTGCTTTTAAACTATCAGTGATTCTTCTTGGATGTGGGGAGCAGCCTGATACCTCTGCGTCCTCACAACATAGACCACGTTTTTGCTTGCAGCCTGTCTTGTGCTGTGTCCTCCTCTTCCAGGGCCCCTCTCACTCAACACAGTATCCCTGGATTCAGGACTTTCCGGCACCTTTGAGACGAGGATGGGTGTAGGTAGCTGCTCTCCCCTGCACCTTCTAGAGCTTCCTCCACATGCACCTGTTAACGGCATTTGTCATGCATGTGATTGTGTGTTACTTTACATGTTTTTACACCCTAGCTGAGAGGGAGGGAGAAGGTTAAAGTGATCTGTGTATGAAAACAGATTGTGGCATAGTTCTCTAAGCCGTGACATCAACAGAACACGGGCCAGGAGCACAGCAGCCTGGATCCTTTTGAGGGCAGGGACCTGGGCAGGGGTGTCCAGTCTATAGGTTCCTCATTCAGGGCCCAGTGACCACAGTTGCCCTGGATGCCATAGATGCCATAAGGGAGAGGCAGGAAGAGTGCCAGGCAGCTGCAAGTGGCTGAGAGGCCAAATCGAGAGGAAGAAGTGGAGGGCAGAGGGCCTCGCATCTGTGGCACGTTCCAGAGCCAGGTGATTGGAACTGATATTTGTGTGGCGTGCCTGGCCATATTCTGTAGCAGCTTAGCAGTCTGAGGTAAGGATCTCGCTTCCTTATAGGACAGAAGACTCTTCCCACCAAGCAGTATTTGTGATTTAAGTCACCTTTTCAATTTGGCAGTGGTTTTCAGAAACCAGACACTAAAGGATAACTGGAAGGAAAGTGCTTTTTCAAAAGCTGTTCTCTACAAATAATTTTTTAAAAAAATTAGCCGAGTGTGGTGGCACCTGTAGTCCCATCTTTTTGGGAGGCTGAGGCAGGAGGATCACTTGAGCTCAGAAGAAGGTTGCAATGAGCAGAGGTCACACCATTGCACTCCAGCCTGGGCGACAGAGCAAGACCCTGTCTCAAATACAGAAACAAAGCTCTTATCCAGAGGCTTCGTTTGGGTTCATTGACTTTTGTAACAGCAGCGTTTTTAAGGAAAAATCTTCTAATAAGAGCATCCACTTACAAGACCGTGGAGTCCATATTGTCACTAGGTTTGGAAATTATTTAAAAGTAAAACTACATTTTGTTTTCATTGACTTACACAATAGGAACTGCTAGTATGTATGAGTTTGTAGACTACGGAGACCTTAAATCAGTTTTAAGGACTAAGTGGTTCACTTTCACGATTGCAGGATTTTTGGTGCAGTCTATGAAAGGCCATCTTCCTAGCAGAGAAACTGGCATGTTTTCCCCGGTCTGCTCCGTCTTACTGGCGTGCACCTCACGTAACATGGGACCAAGGAGGGATTGGGGCCCAGTCAGGGAGTGCATAGCAGGACGCACGTGTGCCCGTGTGATTGACATTCAGGGATGCTACCCACAGGCTGGAATGCTGCCTGTTTCTTCCCCTCAGTGTGCCTGGACTTCATTTTTAGCCCCAGCCATTTTCTCAGTAGATTTGTCTTTCCCTGACCAGCCTGAGAATTGCCCTCAGTTCTTTCTCTGTGCTGTACGAAAGCCCTAAAACGCCCAGGAATCCTTGGTAGGTTCCATGCAGGAAAGAATGGTGTCTTCAGTCATTGTATTTTGAAGCTGGTTACTGAATGAAAACTAAGATAAGCTTAGAACAAGTTTAATTTGTTTAAAATGAAAAGCTAGATGGGCCAAGAAGAGGAAATCATGCTAATTTGCTAGGTGTTTGCATGAAGTCACTAAATGTATTTACATATCAGATGAACAAAAAATTGCTAAAAGAAACACGTTATCTGAATCTGTTCTTCTTAAGCAGATCATACAATTAAAAATTACACAGAGGAAGATAGAAAAAGTAGCTTGTCTTGGCTGGGCACGGTGGCTCACGCCTGTAATCCCAGCACTTTAGGAGGCTGAGGCGGGTGGATCGACGAGGTCAGGAGATTGAGACCATCCTGGCTAACACGGTGAAACCCCGTCTCTACTAAAAATACAAAAAAATTAGCCGGGCGTGGTGGCGGACGCCTGTAGTCCCAGCTACTCAGGAGGCTGAGGCAGGAGAATGGCGTGAACCCAGGAGGCGGAGCTGGCAGTGCGCTGAGATCATGCCATTGCACTCCAGCCTGGGCGATGGAGCAAGACTCCGTCTCAAAAAAAAAAAAAAAAAGTAGCTTCTCTTTTTTATTTAGGCAAATTCATGAAGCTTTTTAGAATTGCCCGCCAAAGGCTCTCCTGACAGAAGTCAGAAGTTAGTTTTCCTCACTGCCAAGTGTTCCACAGTGGCTCTCCTTTTCACTTTTATCTGGAGTATAGTTGTCACCATCTCTTTTTGCAATAAATTCCTGGCCTTCTGATGAACAAGTAATATAAACATGAGGTCATAACAACTCACTTTAAAAAGGTACGAAGTCAAGGTGATGTTTACTGAGCGTTAGCTCAGGAATCTCTTTAAGAAACCCCTGGAAGAAGGTGGCTGCTGGAAGTCTTGTTGAAGACCAAGCTCTTAGGCTCCAAAAACTGAGACCTCTGGACTCTGATTCTTTTACCCCAGAGGACAGAATAGACACTTGTTCCTGAGAAGAGAGAAAAGGGGACACATTTTACCTAGGGGCCAAATATTTTCTACCTGGAGGTAGAATGCAGCGGGTGGTTGATAGAGATTTCGGCCTCAGTTTGCCCCTCAAGCCCGGATTTGGAAGTATTCCAGAACGCTGTTTTCTCTAAAAGGAATCTGGAGGTTCGTAGCCTCCTTTCAGAATGCTTGTAGCCTGATGCTTTGTTCTGTTTCTGTTTTGTTGTTTAAGTATTTGAAAGGAATGCTGATTGGCCTGACGTAAGTTTTGGTTTGATTTGGGGAGGATCTTTCTCCTCCTACACGTTGTGGTCCACTCTCAGTCCGCCTGCAGTATGCATTCCCTTCAGTCCTGTGTATGGCATTTATTCATGTCAGTTCGGTTGATAATGCTCCTGCTGTGTGTCCTTTGTTGTTTGTTCTCCTTTCCTTTTGAATGCATTTTTCCCTGTTTATTTGTTCATTCACTCTTTTCACTCACTCATTCATTCCAAAGTGTCTCTCAAGGCAGTGGTAATGTGCAAGGAGGTGATACCTAAATGAATGACCAAAAGAACATGCTTCTGCTTTTGTGTGTCTCCTACATTTTAGACTTTAAGTTCCTTGAAGCCCAGGACCATGTCTCACTTACCTTTGTGTTTCCACTAACTAGTCTGTCTCCTGGAATTGGCAGATAGTGAAAGCCTGTGAAATAAGTGATGTCTATTTCTAGCACATTATTCTGAGATTTAGTGATAGATTTAGTGATTGAATGAGATTTCCATTTTCAAATACAGCAAAAGCATAACTATTTTCATTCATTCCTATTCATTCAACTTCATTCTCAAAATTGGGTCCTGAGTTAACTGATAATTACCTTGAAATGTGTGGGTTATTT